TCAGGTCTCTTGTAAGATCAGCACGTACACTTAACCACTAAGCAATATCTCCAGCCTCATATGTCAGGTTTTTTAAAAATAAACGTGGCAAGAACTCATTCCTGTGTTACGCCTTGGTGCAATAGCAGCAACAAACTAAAGTCCATCTTATAAAATAATTTCACCACTATATGTGAATGTGTAACGCAAAAGAACATTAAAATATCAAGTAGTAGATAAGCAGCCAAAGTTTCATTTAAATATGAAATGTCAGCCTTTTCCAATTAGATCAACTTTTCCAAATTATATGTTTTATTATATAAATCCAAATATGAAGACTTGTTCTTACAGCGACTCAGACAAGATGAAGCAGAGCCATTTGTTAAGGAACCATGGATGGCAGCCAGGAAACTGTGGTGGTACAAGACATAAAGAGCACTTTCATTGTCAGCACAAGATAACATTGCTGAAATGCCAAAGATCAGGCGTCATTAAGTGGGCTGGTGGAACAGAATGACTGAGATGACTTTTAATTGGTATTAGCACATGTTGATATTCACATTTTTCTGTTTGTATGCATATATAAATTCTGGCATACAGTTGAGTTTTTACACATTTAAAATGTTACAGTAAAAAAATTTTAAACAATCATTTAAATCTAGTATCAAAATACCATATAAATAGGAATTAATTTCAGGCTACTGTTGGAGATTTTTTGTTTATTAGTTTAAATTACATTATAGATTTAAATTAAATTGGTTGAGTAATGTGTAATATTCACTTAAGAGGTATAGTGCAGTAATAGAACATTTGACTGCATTTTTCATTCACTTATTCAAAAAATATTGAGTTTGGTCATTATACTAGACATTGGCATATAATAATGAACTTAGTAGGAAATACCAATATGAGAGAAAAAGAGAGAATAATAATATATGCCAGGTTAGGATATAATAATGATCTTAGTAGTGGGAAATACCAATGAGAGAGAGAGAGAGAGAGAGAGAGAGAGAGAGAGAGGGAGAGGGAGAAACATATGCCAGGTTTCTAAAGCTAAATTTCAACTCAATACCCAAGAGTATAATGCAATGATTAATAATCTGAGTGCACACTATCTATTGTTTATTAAATATCAAGCACATGGTAGGTACTTTATATGTTATTTTGTTTAGTTCTCATGACAATCCTATAATGTTATATAATTATTTGATTTTTTTTTTTGTTCATTTAAGGGCCAAATATTTCATTTCCTTCTTAGTAGGTTTAATGCCCAGTGTCACTTGTAAAATACTTTTTTTAGTGTTCATGTCAAATAAACCCCTATGTTAAAAATTACTTCTCCTGAGAACACTGCAGATACTAACTCACTGTGTTTAACCAGAGCACCTTGGTTTCCCGCTGAGTATTTCTTAAATGGTGAATTTTCTCACTCTTTATGGAAATTTTAGAAGCTTCATAGTTGTTTTACAGTTTCATGATAAGTAGTAGTGTGTCTTTCTTCCTTCATACTCAGATATACTCCATGACCCCTTTCAATGTCTTTTATATAGGGAGATTGTCTTCTGATCATTTTAGCAGCTCTGCAGAGTATTAGTTATGAATAAAGACACTGGAGTCAGCCACCTGGGTTCAAATGCTAATCATTTGCTGCAAAGCCTTCAGCAAGTTCTTTATACTGTATTAGCTGAACATGTCATTCTAAAATATGCTGCTCTAGCATATGGACTATTATTAACAGAGCCTGAAAAGCAGTGGATGATATGGAAATCAGTATGGAAGTGTTTGAAAAACCTAAAATAGGCCAGGTGTGGGGGCATACACCTTTAGCCCACACTTGGGAAACAGAGGCAGGAGGATCTCTGTGAGCTTGAGGCTAGCATGTTCTACCGTGGCCAGTAGTACAAGATAGATAGTGAGACTGTGTCTCAAAAAAGCAAAACAAAACAAACAAAACCCATAAACAACAACAAAAACCAACTAAAGCAAACAAACTAAAACTAAAAATACAACTGCCACATGACCTCGCTGTACTACTCTTGGGTATATAGCCAAAGTTCTCTAAGTCAACATATCACAGAGATACTTGCATACCCATGTTTATTGCTGCACTATTCACAATAACAAGGAATAGAACCAATCTAGACATCCATCAGCAGACAAATGAATGAAAGAGATGTGGTACATACACACAAAGGAATTGTATGCAGCTGTAAAGAAAAACGAAATCACGACATTTGCAGGAAAATGGTTGAAAAGAGAAATCATTAAGCTAAACAAGCCAAATGTAGAAAGACAATTATCACATGCTTTCTCTCAATAAGGAAACTAGATTTAAAAGTGTGTGCTTGCTTGTGTGCATGCGTATGTGTGGTATGTGTGTGCCATGAAATTAGAAAGGGGATCATGAGAGGAGAGGAAGAGATCTTAAGGGAGGAGGGAAATAGAGAAGGCGATGGAACGTATGTGAGGTGAAAGCAGAAGGTAGGGCTGACTGGGAGAAGAAAGAGAAGCAGCCAGAGGGAAGGCAGGGGAAGGTGCAGTGCAGGAGAGCAGCGCGAGCTAAGTATGACACAAGGGGTGAAAATGCCGTCACGAAGCCCATTGCTTTGTATGTTAACCTAAAAACACTAGTTTAAAAAATGGATGCAAGAAAATCAGTCTACACTTCCTTCTTTTTCTTTACAGAAGGAGAGGAAATTCCAGTGTGAAAGATGTCCCCCTCTACCGGAAGGGAAGTCTCATTCTTCCCATCAGACACAGGAAGTGGAGCCCAAGGGGAGTCTGGACAGAGGAACCTTGGTAAACTAACGCCTTCTCCGCTCTCCCTTTGTCTTTTCACACCTTCACAGCATACAACTCTGTCCAGTTTGGTATATAATGGTTAATTATGTGTCTCTGGCTCTTCATTTCCTTATGAAGGCTCATATGCTCTATAAAACTTGATTTAAGGTTGTATGCTTTCTCTTGCTAATTTTTGTGTTAACTTAGTTCACCCTAAAAGGTGAGGTAAGATTGTTCTATACCTCTTATCTAGAACCTGAGAATGCTACTTGTATCACCACATTATTAAACCACATAGGGTTGATTTGGGAATTCAGTGTGTTTACATTTGGAAAGTCACAGCATGGGCTCAATCCGTTCCATGTTCTGGTCATTATCTTGCCCTCATCTTTACTCCTCTTAGGAAAGAGCTGATTCTCTACCTTGCTTCTCTTTCTCATCCATTTTCTAGGATTTTGTTTTATTTTATGGTGTTGATGTTCCCTTGCATCTGGCTAACATCTAAGCTCTGGTAGTCTTAATGTTAACACAGGGTAGAGTGCTCATTACTGGAACTGCTCTCTGAGAAAGCCTGGCATGGAGTGACCCTGACGTGGAGTGACCCTGCGTTCTCCTGTGCCCTCTCCATGCTTGCCTTCTGTGCATGCTCTCTGAATCCACCCGATGTTGTGTTTACAAGATAGTCTTTTCTTTGCTGCATTTCTTTCTAGGCATTGCTCCTTCGCTCTCCTTTACCCATCAACAGGCTTCCACTCTTTCTCACACACACTCCAGAAAATTCTTCCCTCCATTCTCTTCATCTCTATTAGCTTAGCTCTTCCCTATTATTTAACAGAGTCCTAGGAAGAAGCAAATTTAGGTGTTTGTGCTCAGTCTATATCATGAATCAAAAGCACACAATTTGCTATCTTTCTAAAGGAGAGGTTATTGTTCACAGATGAATAGCTATCCCTTTTCGTGAACTACCTCCCTTGGGTGGAAATCATGCTGCAAGTGACAGTTCTTTGTTCTGTAATGCCCTAACTTCAGTCTAGCTGCCCTATGTCTTTAACTAGACTGACCAGATCACATCGGTTAGGAGGTTCAAATAAAGATCTCCAAAAGTAATCCTCTGTTGACTCTTGCTATGCCATTAGGGTAGCTTATTTGAAACAGCTTTGATATGGAGTTGAAACCAGAATAAGTACCCAATAAAAGAATTTTTATTTTGACTTGATAATGTACTTAAGGCTTGGTAAATCTACCTCAGAGGTAGAGACAGCTAGGATATGGACTAGGAAACAAAAACAAATGTAGTAAAGTGTGACTGAAAATATTTATTTAATAGCCTGTGTAACAGTATATCCTAAATTATGTTTTGTGATAATTCTAATCATGGAAGAAGATCTCAAAAAGAGGAAAATGCATATACTTTAGAAGTCATCATGCTTGTACTTAGAATAAGTCTGTTGTTCTACAGGTTAAATTTTTAACTTTTAAAATTCATGTTTTACAAAACTTATTTGACTGCTTCCTCTGTTTTTTCTTTCTTAGCTCTGTCTATAAAGATAGATAGCTCTATCTGTCTATCACAAGAACCCATCTCTTATAAAATACTCTGACAAAAGCAATTTAAAAGAGAAAGGGTTGACTTTGGATTATAGTTCCAAAGGGATGTAGTCCTTCGTGGCTGGAAAGGCATGGCAGCAGAGCTGAAGTTGGCTGGTAAGGTTGTATCAGCCATCAAGAAGCAGAGAGAGAGGACAGGAAGTGGGGCTGGGCCCTCAAGGTTCATTCCCCAGTGATTTATTTCCTTCTGGGAGGTCCACCTCCTAAAGATGCACAACCTCCCCAAACAGCGCCATCAGCCAGGGACTATGTATTCAACACATGAGCCTATGGAGGATATTTCCCATTCAAACTACAATAACTAGTGACCCCCACCCCCAAGTATAGCCATATAGCCTTGCCTACTATTCTAATAGTTAACAGTGTTTAGAATTTGGTTCAATACTGAACGGAATGCTACTAAGTTTCTGACTTAAAGCTGGTGTCATGAATGACCAGTACAAAATTGGAGTCAAGCTGTTCAATAGGAAAGAATAACAAACTCATCAGGGCCTTCTATGCTGTGCTACATGTACATTTTCATCTCCTGTAGAGATGTAATTTTCCCAGGAGATGTCACTATATCTAATATATCTTATTCATTAGCAGTAAAATAAGCCATAAAGAGGAGGTTTTACCATGGGTAACCTTACCTATTCCACAAGAAGGTTTTTGCATCCTGTTGTGTTTCACTGGCAAAGTCAGTGTGCATGCTGGTTTTTGGAAGTCACTCCTCTGGGTGCTGTTGGTATCATACGATGGTTGGGAGGCATGCACCGCTTCATCATGTGGCCACCAGTTACTCTTCATAGAAATAAAATGGAAACACACAGTCAAATACTGATAGAAAATTTTGTTTGTTGCTTATAATCTATGAATATTCAGTAATTTAATGCAACAAGGTATTAGATAATCTAGTGGGTTTTTTTGGTCTTTTTGAGATGGGGTCTCCCTGTAGCCCCAGCTGTCCTTGAACTCACTATATAGACCAGGCTGGCCTTGAACTCACAGAGATCCACCTGCCTCTGCCTCCCGGGTGCTGGGATTAAAGGTGTGCGCCACCACGCCCAGCCCAATGGTCTAGTATTTTTACATGCTTTATTTTTGTGTGTATACGGTGTATGTGTACATGTGGAGGGCAGTGGTCAACATGAGTGTTTTCCTCAATTGAACTTTTCATTTTTTTTCCTTTTTTAAACTGAATTTATGTGAATCTCATACATTTTGACTGTATTTAGATTTTAGGTCCTTTCCCCTATCTGCACCCCCCATCCCAACACTCAATGTTTTGCTTTTTGAGACAGGGTCGCTCACTGAACCTAGAGGTCACCAATTTGGCTAGGTTAGTTGACTAGTGAGCTCCAGGGATCTGCCTATCTCTGCCTCCCACTACCCCCTCCCCCCGGCCCGATGCTGGTATTCCAGGTGTGCCCAGCTTTCTATGTGGGTGCTAGGATCCAAACTCAGGTGCTCTTGATTGAGCAGTGAGCACTTTACTGATCGAGCCACCTTATAAGCCCCTGAGAATTCTTAAATATAGGAATAAATATTTTTTTCAAAGACTTTATTTCTTAAAAGGTACCTAAAAATACTCATACAATTTTAGCAAAATATATTTGTTATTGTTACCTATGTTAACATAATAGTTATATTTCTGTGCTTTATATTATTTTATTACATAGATGTACATGCTTTTTATATATAAAAGATGGTTTAATCTGAAAATTATGTTCATTTCTCTTTATTATAGCAAAATAATTAATGTATTATTATCTAAAATGATGGTTTGCAAAGTTTTGAGTCCATGATCCACATCATGAAATACATTTTACATCCTGCAAGAGCATGGAATACTACTATACACGTAAGAGAAAAAGTTTCAGATTATTGTCATAATTATTGCAGGGCACTCAGTTGTTCTATTTTACTGCATTCGCTGCTGTTTCATGTCACAATGGTAACACAACTTACACTGTTTATAACTCATAAATTTATCATTTTGACTCATTCTTTTAATTCCTAAGGGGAAATATCTCCAAATACCACTGAATTTTCAGTACTAAATTCGATGTAGAAAAGAAAATTGCTCTTCATTAACACCTGCAACCATCTAACCTCTTAAAAATTGAGAGAGCGATGAACTACTTCAACTTAATTCTGACTAAAAAAATTTTTTTAATTCAAAAAACCCCAAACTGCTAGATCAAGGAGGAGAGAACTTGAAGGAAGGTAACTGCCACATTCAGAAATTTAGGATCTGAACTGAGATTGAAGTGATCTTGGGTGTAAGAAAGCAGATGTTGGGCTGACAAGATGGCTCAACAGGTAAAAGTACTTGCTAAGCAAGCCTGACAACCTGAGTTCCACTCCCAGAACCCAGAGTGGAAGGGGAGAACTGACTCCCCAACTGTCTTCTACTCTCTATGTGTGCACTGTGGTGTGAGTGCAAGCACACACACAAACCCACACACACAGTAATATCAAAAAAGACCCGGACATGTTAGCGCACACCTTTAATCCCAGAACTTGGGAGGCAAAGGCAAGTAGATCCCTGTGAGTTCAAGGTCAGCCAGGTCTACATAGAGTTCCAGTCCAGTTGTGGCTATAGGAAGACCCTGTGTCAAAAAGACAAAAACAAAAACAAAAACAAAACAAAACAAAAACACCAAAAAAGAAAAAAATTAACAAAAAAGAAAGTAAATGTCTTAAAAAACAATCAGCCTTGATTCCCTAGTAAAAATATTTCTATAATGGATGTGTGATTCCAGCAATACAATTCTGAAAACTGAGGCTACATTAGTACAAAAAGGAAGAGTGTCCAAAGGCCCCATGTGTCTGCATAGGAAGCCAGCTCTCAAATGAGCTTAGCTTCTAAAGAGACAAGCCTGTGTGAAAGCAAGGGCAGGTCACATTCGGAATAAAGCTGAATGGAGTCACCTTGTCAGGACTGTCGGGAGGCCTAGAAGAAAATCATGAAATATGCCAAAGACAGAGGAAATAAGGTTTTCTGGAAAAAAAAAATTGGAGCGAGAAATCAAGGACAGGTTAATGATAGGGAAAGAAGTACATTGTTCAAAGCTGAAAAGTCAGAGCTACTAAACTTGAGGTGTTTGGTTAAGGGATATTCAGAGACTGGAAAAGATGGGATGAACAAAAAGATGGGATGAACATACACCAGAGGGACTGAGAAGTGGGCAGGACACAGGGGAAGAAGAGCTCAGGTTAAATTGGTGCCAGTTTTAGGCCACAAGTTGTAGCCTGGAGTAATGGAATAATGGGCAGTTGTAAACACATTTCACAGAAATTAAGGAACTAGGAAATTTCAGACAATAGGAGACATTGACTAGTGTCTCCTATTTTCAGAATGAGCTAAAAAGTGAATTTTAAAGTTGAGATTCCTTGATATAAGTCCTAAGAAAATTCTAGAACAGATTACTAAACAGATGGTGCCTTCTCGGTATCTGGCTAAAAATATTCATGTACTACTGGTGTTGGAGTGCCTGATTTCTTGCAGTTCTCCTCCATGCCATAATTTTGATCATACTTATTATGTCTAGAACATGCAGCCCTTAGCTCTTTTATCTCAATTCTATGAGGTAGGTTCATCTCTTTAAGGGTGAGAAAACTACCAGATTAAGTGACTTCCCCACAGTATAGAGCAAAAGGCAGCCACAATTCACCAAACCCCCTATCTGTACATAGCCCTGAATTCTGTGCTCCATTGCTATTTCAAATATGTGTAATGCTAAACTAGATAAGCCCAGGCTTAACTACTTATTTCAAAAGCAAAGACAAAGAGGTTCCGAGTGTCCTAGACTGTTCTGGGTGACCAGTGGCACAGACTGGGTCATTTACAACGTATGCGAATTTACTGGCTCTGGGTTCTAGAGCTCGTGAAGCCTGATAGCAAGACACCCAGGCCAGGCAGGTTTGGTGTTTCTAATCCCAAGGTGGTATCTCGAGTTCTCACACGAGGAGGTGAATGGTAAAAGGAAAGGAAGAGGATGTCAGCTTTGCTTTTCTACTTGATCTAACACATATGAAGGCAGTGCCCTCGAGCCTTGTCGGGTCTTCAATGGTCTCACCTCTCAGTACTGTTACAATAGCAATTATATTTCTACATGTGTTTTAGAGAGGACAGACTTTGAAACCACAGTCATAAAGAGCCCTAGGAAGTTTGACTATAAACAGATCCTAAGGCACATACTTTACATCGTTGACTTTTGTTCGTCAGAAGCCCGAGTTACTGGGCAAGTGACCATTAGGAAGTGCCTGGGCCTTCAAGTTCTTCTTTGTGCAGAGTATAATGCAACGACTTTTCTTAGAGCAAAGAGAGTTCACCTTTCAAGCAAATTTCTTTAAGAATTTTACCAAAATGGTGTCTTTAATTTCACAAATATAAAGGAAATAACAAATCCTTTACTCTGTAGCTAAAGTGTTCTGGGGAATATTATAAACCAGACGCACCTTCTCTTCAGTAGCATGAAATCCTCTTGGTCAAAGAATATTACTATTTTCCTATTTTGGATAATCTTCCCCAAACCTGAATGGTATCTATGGTTCCTAGCAGCATAGTTCTCAAGACACAATGAGAGTAAAGAAATGGATAGAAGCTTGCCTTTGTCCCACCTCACACTGAGGGAAAAAAATAATTAAAAATTTACTGTTCTGTGGTCCGTCTCTAACACTGGATTGATTGGAGTTGACCTGGAATGATTTAATGGCAAAATAAACCAAAGTGGGAAAAGCTGTGTGGTGTGACGGCTTTTGGGGGACAGACTGTAAAGAGGGTGCTACCTGGAGAAATGGTTGTTCTTCATTTAAAACTTTGGGCCCTGATAGGAAGTCCTCTCCTAGTCTAAAACCTACTTCCTTTCCTGCTCCAAGATGCTGTTTTCCAGGGTTCCATTTTGAGGAAATGCCTAGATATTCCTGATGACAAATCTCCTAACCCCTTAGCCCTGCCTGGAAAGCTTAATGACGGTTGCCATGTGGCCCCACCGACATTTGAAGGCAGTGTAAGGCAGTCATTATGTTATGCTCCTATTAGCCCCAAGCTCTCAGAAATATTTTAGTAAACAGTACTTAATTTCCACTCCGTGGACATTCCTCAGGTGAGAAGTGGCAAAGAAAAGTATAACATTCTAGAAGCACCAGTTAAGAGAATGCGAGAGGTGGTGGGCCTAGAGTGCACAGCTGTAGACAGAGCTGCCTGGCCAAGACAACTCTCTGATAATGACAGTCATCTGTGGAACATAAATCATACTTGGGGAAATACAGATTTCTGACAAAACCTACAGAGAATGGCATTTCATTAGTGGAGCACAGTGGTTTTATCACACAGGAGGCAGTCAAGGTCAAACGTACCTATGCTGAGGCTACCAGGAATGCTGAAAAATACTTCTTTTTCAGCACTTCATATTGTCTCCTGTAACAGTTGTTCCTAAATTATGCTCTGGGGAACATCAGATCTCTAGCATATTAATAGATACTATGCAAAAGAAGTTCCCGTAGATAAATAAATCTGGAAACACTGAGATAAGCAAATTTAAGCAAGCTTATCACAGAATTTCTCAGAACTTTTATATAACAATGTAAGTTATGAAGCTCTGAGAGAGGTATTTAAAAATGCAACTTTTGACTTGACTTTGGAAATTTATTTCTTCAAACAGACGGGCAAGGCTGGCACTCTGAGAAATACACTTTGGAAAACACTGAGGTAAGTGCAATCTCTTTTAAAGCATCAATATTTAGAAATTAAACACAACAGAATTTTCTCATTAAAGCTTAAGCTAAACAAAAACAAAAACCTCCTTTGTACTTTTTCTAGTACCCACAATTCTAGGTAGAAATGTATAATGATTGTTTTGTTTAAAAATCTTGTAAACAACTAAAGCTAAATGCTAGATATGGCAGCACATACCTGTAATCCCAGTACTCAGGAAGCTGAGGCAGGAGAACTTCAAGTCCAAGTCCAGCCTGGGCTACCTATGTAGGAAGACACTATCTCAAAAACTAAAAATAAATATGTAAAGTCAAGCAATTTGGTGTTGAGATCTAAATATACCATCATATCATTAGACAGATATCGGTTAAAATATTTGGGTAACTTCATTTTATTTTAAAGCCAGCATTAACTATATTTTTAATTAAGCTAAATTTTAAAAAGAAATGTCCTCTTGAATAAAAGAACAAAGTTATATACATATGAAATAAAATGAGTCTTTGGGTACTTGGAAAATGAGGATGTTCACAAGCTCATTCTTGCTTTTGTTTTTGAATAGGAACATTCTTTTCACTGTCTACCCTAATGCCATGACTCTAACTGTGGTGCATCTTCTGTCTCCCCCTAGACTGCTCTTCCTTACCCACTGTCAGCCTCTCTTACCTGTGCTCTTACTTCATTTCAAACTTACTTTGCCTTGTTTCTTTTGGGCCTAGATTTCAAACTTACTTTGCCCTGTTTCTTTTGGGCCTAGAAGTGATTATGTTCCTGCTGTCCACTAAGCTGACAGGAGTTCCAAATATAGTTCTTTTCTTTCCCCAACAACACCTATAAACTACAGAGTGAGCTATTTGGAATTGATTTTTAAAGATTCTACATTTCTTCTATTCTTGAACAAGCTTTTTTCTTAGTGTCTCCATTTCAGGGAGAGATACCTTAGATTCAACCCTGAACCAGCACTCAGGACAATCATTCTATCACAAGAACAGAGATGGCATCATATGGAGAGTCCCCCAGACCATCTCCAAATAATGTCAGGTTCAAGTAGAACTAGATCAAAGCAGAGATGGGGAAAGAAGTGGAGTAGGGCAAGGTGCCTGAGACTGCTCTGATGGTACTCTTCTACAAATGTCATGCTAGCATACATACATACATACATACATACATACATACATGAGAAATTATAATCACCTCTGCAGTGGTGTACTTTGAACAGTCACTCTCTGGACTAACTAGGAGGACAGGGGGATCCTCAGTCCCATAACTGTGCTACTAAGAGCACGCTGTAGCATGCTGCCTTTGTACATCAGGAATCCTCTGTTAGGTCCTGACATGGTGGTCACTTCTTCTCTCAAATGTCACTTCCTTCATGAGGCTTTCTCTGACCACCTATTTAAAACTGCAACTCTGGGTCAGGGAGATGGCTCAGTGGGTAAAGGTGACTGTCACCAATCTGACTACCTGAGTTTGATCCACATGGTGGAAAGAAAGAACCAACTCTTGCAAGTTGTCCTCTGACCTCCACATATGGTCATGGTGTGTGTGCGCGTGTGTACACACACACACACACACACACACAAAGTGCATACACACAAAATAAATAAAATGTAGCAACCAATTTTAAAATAATAAAGTAGCAACTCTATCTCCAGCTGAGCTTGTCTCCTCTTCCATGCCAGCCCTATTACCAGCCAAACCCTAACACAGCTTACTGATTTTGCTTATTCTCTTACTAGAATATAAACAGCCTGAGGGTAGGATATTTGCCCCATTTATTTGATTCACTGCTGAATCCCTAGCTCTAGAAAAGAACTGACCAAAATACCTTTTTAATGTGAACTATCCTTAGCTCCAGTTCCAGGGGACTCCGAAGCCCTCTTCTGACCTCCGCGGCATTGCATGACACAGATGCACTCATACACATTCATACACAGAAAATAAAAATAATAAATAATTTTTTTAAATTATTTCATGTGCGTAGGTGTTTTGCCTGCATGTATGTAAGTGCATCACATGCATGCAGTGCTCACGGAGGCCAAAGAAAGCATCAAATCCCCTGGAATTGGAGTTACAGTTGTGAAACACCATATAGGTTCTGGGAAGCAAACCTGAGTCCTGTGCAAGAGCAGCAAGTGCTCCTAACTGCTGAGCCATCTTTCTGACTCCCCAAATACATATTTGAATCCTCACAAAAAAATCCTCTGAGAGATAATTACCATCCTTTCTATATAAGTAAGGAAACTGAGGTTTAGAAAGAGTAAATTACTTGCCCAAAGTCACACTGAAAATATGCAGAAAAAAAGATGCACAAAAGATAATGCAACAATATGAAGAAATTATAAATGCATTTTCCTGAGAAGATTTTTAAAAAGCTACAAACTGTATAAATTAATTTGCATGACTCTCTGGAAAGATCAACTATAGAAATCATGAGTTTTCTGATAACTACTCTTGGGGCGATGTCTGCAAATGAACCCATGAGAGCTTTTGGGCGCGGAGTCAGTGTTCCATAGCTGGATTGTGGAAAGGTAGCATGATTATACCTTTGCTCAAATTCATAGGACTATCCACTAAAAGGGTGAATTTTATAGTGTAAATGCCATAGGCAGAAAAATGTTCCTCTCATCACCCAAAGATGTCTGTCTTAATCTCTGAGCCTGTGACTATGTTACTTTACACAGCAAAGGAGCACTGAGGATAGGAATCAGGATTTTGAGATAGAGAGATTATCCATCATTATTGAATGGGCCCAATGTAATCTCCAGGGTCCTTCTAAGAGGAAGGCGGGATAGTCAGCCAGAGAGATTTGAAGATGTGTTGCTACTGGCTCTGGAGGAAGAGGCCATGAGCCAAGGTATATGGGCAGCTTCTCTCTAAGCGGGAAAAGGCAAAGACAATTCTCCCTTAGACCTGCCAGAAGGAGCTGTCCCTACCAACAGCCAGTGAGCCTGGGTTGGGACTTCCAAATTCCTGGACTACAAGAGTAGATCTGTGCTGCTTTAAGTCAGAATTGAAGCTTGTGATAATTCATAACATCAGTAATAGAATAATATACTAAATCATTCTTCAACAAATGTGACTTTTTTAAAAGAAGTAGAGAACAAGAGAGGTCTGGCTAAGCCAACAGTCCTGGGCTCAGACACATAATTGTTATATTTCCTTACTATGGAAATACAGATATGCTAATCAACCTCAGTATAATCTGTGCTATACTTCCAATAATACCTCACGAAAATTATTGCAGATGTTAAAGAATATAATACATAAAATCTAGTTCATTCCTAGCAATTTATGTGTTAAATAAGCGCTAACTACTATTTTATAGAAAGTCTGAATTGCTGAATAGCACAGAAAAATCTTATGATAGTATCTCTCACAAACATAGCACTATAGAAGTTTCTCCAGTAATTCCCAAGCAGTACTTAGTGGCTACAGTAAGAGCCAATCTAGAAAAATGGACTGGATTTGTTGGATTTGTTCCACATATACATAGTTTCAGTGGCCCAGTTCTCTACCAGAAAGAACTCCAGGTTACTGCTTTAAGCACCGGATGATAAACAGACCTACTCTGCGATGTGTCATGTCCTTTAAATAGACTGTGATCAAACTGTCCTGTAAAATGGCTTCTGAATCTAAATCTGTATTTGTATATAACAAACATCTGTCCAACCTGCTTTTCTGGACATTTGTTATCAATGTAGGGAACTGGTTCATTGTATGTTCTTGCATTTGTGTTAATGAATTTAGCATAATTTATACGTCTTCTCTCCACACATGATTTTGAATGTTGCATGCTTTTTCCAGGATTTTTTTCACATTTCATTTCTTCTTTTTTTTCAGCTACATATGCTATACCAGAATCTTCTATTTTATGCCATCTGTAAAACATAAGTAATTATGTTAAATAAATAATTTATCCCCATGAGCATTTCAGTAGTTATAATTAAATAAGATTTAAATATGTCAAGCTTTTAG